TTTTTTTTTTTTTTTTTTTTTTTTTTTTTTTTGCTGTTGTGCTGCATTTGAAAACAAATGGGAGAAAAACCTCAAGAAAAAAAAACTTAATCAAAATTTTTTAAATTTCATTTCTTATTCTTGACGAAAAGTGTTAGTTGTTAAGCAAAGCACAAACGAATAAACCAAGAAAACGGTGAAGGAACAAAAGTAGCGTTTGTATAATGACGATGTCAGCAGTAGGAACTGCTGACATTGTCATTCCCTTATGGAACCGCTCGGGCCTTTTTGGACAGTTATCTTGCAGAGTTTATGTAAAATAAGCTGTTCAATGAGGATTCATTGTACCATCTTTGATCCCAAATTTCTGAAATGTGCTCGGCAACAGTTCGCTAAGACCTTCAGAAATCCCTGATTGTCACTGCTTTTCTCATTGTAGTCCAATTTTTGGAAGCGCTTCGCTAGAAGGGCGTTAATGTTTGTCTCAAACTGCTGCTCTGGTCCAGCAGTTTTTGATTTACAAAAACATTGGGAAACTAAACCGAACTGGTTCAGTCCCCCCCAGTGCCTTCTCGCCTTCTCTACGCAATAGAAGAAGTCTGACCTTTGTGTTGTTTAATAGCCCATTTATGCAACACACCCCCGCCTGGTTTAACAACTTGCAAAAGGTGTTACGCATTCGCTGAGAGATTTATTAATCCACTGCAGCGTGTGGTCTACTTCTCCACGTTGCCTATATTTACCTCACAAACACGTTCATACTACACCGCTTAACTGCATAAAAGCTTTGTTTGCGGTCTATGTTTTTCGGCTTTGTCGCTGGCCAGCAAGCCGGGCGACGGAGTGCTGCTCGGCTTTATGTTCCTGTGCGATGCACCATCTTGCGCAGCCTGGTGGTGTAGCGGAAAAATAGAAGGAATATACGCTCGCTTTAAATAATCGTTGTCGTCAAAACAAATGATATTCGAAAATACGTCGCGGTTAATAAAAATATAGAAAAATATAGCAAGATAGAAAGATCGCTAGAATATAAAACAAATAATACAGGAGTCGAATATAGAAATAGAAAGAACGGTTTACCTGCTCGCAGAAATATCGAAGAACCGTCAAAGATAAAGAGAAAACTTATTCCAATATTCAGTATATTAGAATTCTATATGATTGACAACTCCAATAGGATTTAATCCTACCAATCGGTCTATAGCAGAGTAGAGCGGACAATTCCAATGTTTAATATGTTGGAATTCAAGTTAGAATGTCTAAACCTCAAAAACTCCGGTAATGAAACTTTACCGAGCAGTCAAAATTCTAATATACATACGAACCTTGACAAGAAAAAGTCAATCAATAATATAAACGACGAAGATGATTTTGGGTTACTAAACTGCTCTCCCGGAACAATACAAATTTGTACAATGACCATCCCCTTCATTAATCAACTATATATAGGATCACATAGATCACAAGGCCGCCTTCGAGTCTGTATCTTCCCTCAAAGAACCTGACTCGCTTCTCGCAACAGGTGACACAATACCTGCAGATTGATTTAGATAACACCTTCAAATGTTAGTCAAGCTTTTTATTCAGAGCTGGTTTGGTTTCCTGGCCTCATTTTTTTCTCCACTTCATTCGGAGGAGCCTACGATGAGGCCCCTCCCACTAAAGTGGAGAAAAAAATGAGGCCAGGAAATTAAACCAGCTCTGAATAAAAAGCTCGACTACCATTTGAACGTGTTATCTGAATCAATCTGCAGGTACTTTTGAAGAGAATAGCAAAAAACCGATATCTTTTTGTGGTTTTCAAATTTTTAATTTTCCCAATAGTCTGCTTTAGTTAGACGGATAAATCTCATTGTTTTTACACTTTTTTGGGCAAAATAAAAAAGCTCATAAGCCTAACAGATTGTTCTCAAAGACTTAACTTTATTCTGTTTTTTTTTTTCATTTGGAAATACAA